ATATCGGAGAATGACTCCCATGCAAATGATATTCTGGATATTATTCTGAGTATTGCCAATACGCAGAATAATCATCCTTATATTCGACAATATATGGCACCTTTTGAAATATATTTAGGGTGCCAAAAGCACCTAGCTTTTTTAAAAGGAAACGCAGTCTCGACGTTGTATTTTGATGCGACAGGCTCGGTTGTCAGGAAACCCCTTCCCAAGTCTAGGAGAATTGATTATTACTCGGGTGTGGTCAATGTGGGGAACAAAATTTTGCCTCTTCTGGAATTTATATCAAGTGATCATTCAACACCTTCTATTAGAGAATTTTTCAAATTCTTCAAAAGCTATTGGGATGAGAACAATATTTCGTGGCCTCCCTTCGAGTCAATCATCACAGACTGGTCTTGGGCTAGTATCAATGCTATTATAGGAGCTTGGAATGAACTCACTCTGATGGAGTATGTAGAACTTGTTTATTGTTTAACAAGATTGTTAACGAAATTCCGTTACCAACTCACATCATCAAACATTTCCTATGTTATGCTCACCTCATCAAAATTATTTTGAGGTGACTGCGTAAGAAGAAAATGGATAATAAGAGAATCAAATTATTCCTAGAATGCATAGCTCTGATTGCACACAGCACTAGTTTCAATTCAATGAATTCGCGAGTCGAGTCTTTCCTCATCATCTTGGAATCTCCTGTTGAAACCGATGACGTCGTTGCGGCCTTCGAGAAACTCGGAAAATCGACCGGACCCTTTGGGAAAGAGATTGATGAGGCCCTCAATCTCGTCCAGCGAGAGATTGAGGATTCTCCACATAACGTGGCTCCAACCATGTATGAAAGAAGTCCATCAACAAGGAAACATCAACAAGTACCAATCGAGTGAATTCTCAGATTACTTGATGAAGGACCTGCTTCCATACGTCTGCCTCTAGTGAACCCTGTTGGCTCCAAAGCAAAAAAATTTTGCTAACGCGTCTGCTGAGAACCACTTCGGAATAATGAAATTAGAGAAGTATAGGCCCTTGAAAGCCTCGAGATTTATCACTAAAGCTCATAATCACGTTCTAGCTGTGTATAAGGAGTTATATCTACGAATCCCAAAAGTTTCTGCCAAACGTCCCGGGAAAAGAATAAACGAACCGGATAACGAAGAATCCCAGGAATATTGGAAACGTGGGCCGGCCCAACATAAAAAAAAGACTAATTATCAGCAAGGCAATAGAATTAGGAAGCTTGCAGAAGTCCGGATGCAACGAATCCTGGAGTACAATGATAATCACACAGTTTCAAACCCAGAATATTATCATTTTCCTAGCCCACCCCGACTGTTTTTTGTGGCCTCGATTCAAGCTAGTGATGGTTCTTCCAACATTAACGTTATGTCAGACGATTTTATTTGTATATTCGATGGAAAGTCGATCACAGACACCCTGACTGATTACTGGGCAGCGAAGATTATGAGGTCTTCACAACGAAATCACGATGTAGCATATCTTAACTGTGAGATCAGTCAGTATTTCATCACAGGAGTGAGAACGAACAAGAGATCATTACCCTCAGATTTTTATGTTCGGTATCGTGATTTGTTGGTTGATAAATCAGGCATTTTCCTCCCTTACAATGTTAATAATTGCCATTGGGTGTTACTCTCTGCTGACATAGCGAATTCCACCCTGTATTTCATTGATCCAGCTGGAAACCAGTTGAAGAGAAATGAGAGAACGAGACTCAACACTTTCATTGATAGTTACAAGAAAGTATAATAATATCTTGAGCTCTTCAAAATCACTTCGGTATATATTTAAATTATACAAATTTTCAATCATTTATCATTTACAAATATTTCCTGCATCCCGAATTGACTGGTCCCTGAAAGTCCCAACTCATCAACAACAAGCAGACAGCTATAATTGTGGAATCTTTGTACTACATTATATTGAAGAGATTCTCGCAGGAAATTTCTTTAGAATGTCCGCAGTTGATGGTGATGAAAAACGAAGGAAAATCAGGAAAGGGATTCTCCTCAATTCGGAAGATATCAGCACTCGTTGTTTGTACTGTGGAAGAGATGAGACCGCGACGAATTGCTCAACTTGGGTCCAATGCAATAAGTGCAGTAGATGGGCAGAGTACTCATGTCTGAGACATCTTGGGGTAGAAAAAGCCCAGCTCAGTGACACAAAATTCATCTTTACGTACGATGTCTGTATTAATTGTTTTTCTTTGAGTCGCGACCCCGAAAATGAACTATTTCCACAGATATTAAAGAAATTATTTACTTTACCAATAAATTATTCTCGTCTCATAATTGATTGAAGTTTTTTTTTTGGAGAGCCACCATAGAAAATTATTATAAATCAGTAAAATTCATTTTCATCTTCAGTCATATATTTTTCTCGAAGATATCCTATGTCAATTGTTTAAAATTAGTAATAACTGTGCATAACTCATGAAGTTAGGATTTATGACGAAAATGAAAATAATCACGAGAAGATTTTTCATTTCTCTGAACGTGACATTTTCAATTTTGTGAATTAGGGTTTTTATACGCCGGACAGAATTTGACAAAGATCACTCATTTGACGGCGGATTAAATCTTTAGCGGTAAGAGTAGAAAAAAGAAAAAAAACACATCGAGATTTCACAAAATCGAAATCATGACACTTTTTTTTCAATAAATTTAGTTGTATACTAAGATATGCCAAGGGTTGTCCACAGGGTGGAGTCTTGTCTCCACTCCTGTGGAGCCTAGTTGTCGATGATCTTCTAGAGAAATTGAGAGAAGAGAACTTTCTGGTGAACGGCTATGCTGATGACATAGCCATTGTCGCCAGGAGAAACTTCCTCGAAACTTCAAGAGACAGACAAATCCATGCTGTGAGAATACTGGAGGAATGGTGTAGGCAAACGAAACTAACAGTTAATCCTGGAACCACGTCTGCCATGATCTTCACCAGAAAATATAAAGTGGTCACTCCACGACCAATCAAAATTGGAGGAGTTGACATCGCTGACGCTAGTTCAGTGAAATACCTGGGAGTAACTCTGGACACCAAGCTTCAGTGGAAACAACCCATATCCACACAGATGGGCAAAACATATGCCTCACTCTGGGCTTGCAAAAGAGCCATAGGAAGGACGTGGGATTTGAACCCCAAAATCAGCCTATGGCTATACAAGATGGTACTACTGCCAAGGTTTATGTACGCTGCTGTGATATCGTGGCCCAGGGTAAGGAAGGTTAGGATTAAGAACCAGTTAAAAGCACTCCAAGGAAATTTCCTCAGGGCTGCAACTGGGGCGATGAAAACCACACCGACCGAAGCCTTGGAAGTGGCAATGAACACACCACCACTTGATCTAGCGGTACTGTACAAGGCAGAGGCAACCGCCTATAGGCTGATATGCCAGGGGGAATGGAATCAGTCAAGTGCGGCACATGCCAAGCTCGATATACTGAAGAGGAGCCCCTTGAACATAGATCAGGATAGAACAACCAGGAGGTACCTGATCAGGAAGGGCTTCAAGGCCTATATACCTGACAGGAAGGACTGGGAAATGGTAAAACAATCACCAGGTGGCAATGTAATACACTGGTACACGGATGGCTCGGGCCGTGGACACCAATACGGTGCAGGGCTATACGGGCCAAAAGAAAACCACAGAGACAGCTGGTCCATTGGACCCCTGGCCACTGTTTTTCAGGCGGAAATCCTTGCAATTAAAAACTGCATAAAGCTTCTCCTACCAAAACCGACCTCAAGAAAACATATATGTGTCTGATCGCACAGCAAAGCTGCCATCAAAGCCCTAAAGAAACCAAGCACCGAATCGAAGCTGGTCTGGGAGACGATGGCAGCTATAGAAGCATTAGGGGCAACCAATAAAATAACTTTCGCATGGGTCCCGGGCCACAAAGGGATAAAAGGAAACGAGATAGCGGACCAACTGGCAAGGCATGGGGCGTCAAATGATGACCAGGTCATGACAGTGGGAGTCCCTTTCGCTACCGGAATATCTCAAATTAAAAACAAACTCTGGAAGGAACACCAAGGGCGATGGAAGCAGATCACAACCTGCAGAAAATCCAAAGCCCTCATGCCAACCCTAAACAAGAAAAGGGCAGAAAAGCTACTCAATATGAAAAGAGAGGAACTGAGCACCACAATCAGGCTCCTCACTGGACATGGTAGGTTTAGGGCACGAGTTTAGACGAGGACAGCCTGTATATACTTTGCAGTTGCCCTGCACTGGCTACAACAAGGCTAAGTTGCTGGGGAACCGCCTTCCCTAGCATCAGCTACGTAGCGGACCTAGGCGCCGGGAATCTACTAGAACTGGTGAGAAAAGCTGGCCTAAAAATATAGGGATCAGTAGGAAAACGGAGCCACAATAGCCCAGTAGGGGTTCGGTGGCAAGAGGGCAGCAAATGCCTATCCGTTTCTTAACGATAACCATAACATAACCATAAGATATGCCATGTTTATTCTGTTAGGAATAAATCACGCAATAAAACAGGGTTCAATCATTATTTCCATATTTCCAGGCATAGTCACGATTCAAATTTTGTACCTTGAATGAAATGAAATCGTAAATTTCGGAATTACTCAATTTTACCGTGATATGCAGTGACAAAGTGTTTGTCCGCAAACTTTGGGCTCATTTCGTTACAATCTATAAAATTTACCTGTGTATTTCTCGTATATCCATACCCTAAAAACCGTTCATCATGCGCTGGAGCCGTATCTTTGGATACGTAGAATGGTTCATAAAGAAACTCAAAGTTTGTCACATTATGACTTATGTACGTGACTCCTTGAACGACGTCTTGATATCCTTTTGCACCAGGAATTACATCAGATGTCCATCTGAAAATTTAACATGAGT